CCCGACTGCCGAGTTTGGGTAGCATCGCATCTTCCATGTCAGGATACAGTGACACTAACCCTTGGGACAAGGGCCGGAGTATCAGCGCCAATTCTTTGTCCGCCTTTCTTCAGCCAGATAATAGCCTGGGTCGGTTAGAAGAAGAAGTCCCCAGTGCAACACCACCCGAGACACCACGTGCTCCCAGCGTTCAGCCCGCTGCGCCTACCGACACGGTCATTGCCAGACACGTCCAAGATATCCAGGTGCCGGATTCCATCGCGCGCGACTTCCGGGCTAAGCACTCACGGTCGCCTGACAGACGGCACATGGCTACTCCCTTCACACGCAGCAAGCACAACCTGACACTCAAGGAGCAAAACAGCAAGATTGATAAACTTAGCAAGGAAAACTTCGATCTCAAGCTTAAAATCCACTTCCTTGACCAGGCGCTCCAGAACCGATCTGATGAGGGAGTTAAGGAGATGATCTCGAAGAACGTTCAACTGCAAACAGACCTAGCTACGGAGAAGAAGGAAGGTCAGTCGATGCGAAAGAAGATCAGGGATCTGGAGCGTAGGCTCAAGGCTCAAGAAGAAGGATCCGCCAATGCCAAAGATGCAGCTAGTGGCTCTGAGGATGGCAGAAGCGAACCGTCATCGAGACAACAGGAGCTGGAAGAGGAGATAGAATTCCTCCGAGAGCGCCTAGAATCAACTGAGATTACTGTAGATCAGTGGCAACAGGAGGCTCTTCAAAAAGAGGCTGACAATCGACGCATGGCCGACTACATCAAGGCAATGCGCGAAAAGGGTTCGAGCGGAGAAGCCGCTGGGTTCGATGAAGCTATCAACATGTGGAAGGAAGACTTCGAGGATGAGCGAGCTAGACGCGAGCAAGTTGAGACACGCTGTCAACAAGCCGAAGCCGAAGCCGATCAACTTCGCGAAGAAGCTCAGCGTCTAAGAGAGCAGCTGCAAGAATTGCAACAAAATTCCATGTCGACTAACCACATAAACAAAAACTTCAATACTTCGCGGCGGATCCACCAATCCTTCAACGGACGCTCAAACGATGATTTTGAAGGCAATGACCCTAATGCACCAGCGTCAGCTGGCGGAACAAGTAGCACTCTTGTGGAACAACTGCAGAGCGACAACGACAAGCTACAGCGAGACTTGCATGCACAAGCTTCTATGCTCACATCAAGAAACCGAGAGAATCTCCGGCTGAGAGAAGAAAACGAGGGCCTGAAGCTTACCATCAGGAGGGGAGACGCTGGATCGACTGCCGGCGATAGCATTCTGGAGCGCTCAGTTTCTCGTAACCACATGCGGTCCGTGTCACGGGCAAGTGGTGGTACTCGTAATACGCAAACAAGCGACCCTGACCGCGATGACTACGAGGCCAAGAATGCAGCACTGCGAGACGAGTTGTCACACTTGAAGCTGTCGTATAAAGAGCTCGACGACCAGTTAAACGGTCACCTCGATATGCTTGAGACCTCAGAGAACAAAGTAAGGGAATTGGAAAAGGAGATAGAGGCTCAGACAGAAGATCTTCAGGCTTTGGCTAGCGAACGTGATGAAGCGCTGGAGCTGCTCCAAGACAAGGAACAGGAATGCGAAGAGCTGAGACAGGAAGCCTTGGACACTGTACAGCGGCTGGAAATCGAGCTTGAGCAGAAGCAAAACGAGCGTGATCGCCTCTTCAATGATTTGGAGAATATCACCGAAGACTTCCACGCTTTGCAGCAGGAAATGAAGAACGTCAGCGAAAGCCTGTTGGCGCTCGAGGACGATCGAGATGCAAGTCTGCGCAAGATCCAAAATCTGGAGTCTGAACTTAGCGACGCCAATGAAGAGCTGAACAGGCAGGACAAGCTCATCAGCGAGGAGAGATCAAAGAATGAACGACTAGACATTCAGCTCGAGTCCTGCCAGGGTGAAATCGATTTCCTTCGAGAAGAACAAGAAAGCGACAAGATCAAGATTGGAGAGCTCGAGTCAGCTCTAAACCATACCCAAGCTTCACTGCAAGAGTCGAGAGAACGTTCTCGAGACCTTGAGGAGCGCATGGTGGAAGAGAGACAGCAACGTGATGCTTTGGAAAACCAAGAGAAACAAGAGGTGGAAAAGATCATTACAGATCTTAATGCTCAGCTGACGAAGCTCAAAGAAGATAGTAGGAAGCTACGCAAGAGCCTCTCTGGCGCAGAAGTCGATGCTACGACCTGGAAACTACGACATGATGAGCTGGAGCAGACCCTTCGGGAATCCCTTGGTAACCTCAGCGGTACCAGGGCCAGTCTTTTCAAGGTAGGAAAGAGCCATATCATTTGGTTGCGTTTCATCAACTTACAAATTGCATAGGATATCACAAAGCTCCAGCGAGATCTTCAGACCACCACGCAAGAGCTCGATGTTGTCAAAACAGACCTCGCAGAGAAGGACCGACTCCTGCGCAACCGTGACACCCTTTTGGAAAACACTGGGATGGAAAGCCGTCGCTTGTCTGAGCTTCTTGAGCGCGAGCGCCACGCACGTCGACAAGACCAAGCAACCTTTGAGAATGCAAAGCGCAGTCACCAGTCTACCTCCAGGGCGGTTCAGCAGCAAGAAGCAAAGATTGTCGAACTTGAGAACCTTCGTAACCAAGACCGTCACAGACTCCACAATCTGGAGAAGCAGTACAAGGAACAGCTGCTTGAGCGCAACAATCTTCTCTATGCTCTATGGAACCGACTGTCCACTCTTTGTGGCACCGAGTGGTCTCGTAACCACGCCGTTATCAACGGAGAGCTCACATCGATGGAGCTCATTTCGAAGAATGTTACGGGCTTCAACAAGAATATTATCTTTGCGGTGAGGACCGTAGAGGGCATTATTGGCAGCTTCAAGCAAAGGATTCGAAACATCGAAAAAGACTTGCTCCGCGACTACCAAACTCTTGAGCACACTCTCGAAACTCGTGTCAAGAGGCTGGACCAGCTCGAAAAGCTCGTCATGGCTCAACGACAGTCGATTGGAAGACCTAGCACTGTTCGCGGTGGTGTAGTCGATCTCAACACAGCCGAGCTGAACAAGCTCCGGACTGAGAATAAGACTTTGCGATCCGAGGTCCAGACCCTTCGCGCCATCACCACAACGACGCAGTCTGGAAACGACATCATCCTCAGCCGTTCTTCGTCAAGGGCTGGGTCACCCACCTCCAATAAGCGTGCTAGCATGGCACAAACGCTCCTGCGTGCGCAATCCGCCTCGGTCGTGGAGCATCTCTCATCATCGACGCCTGGCCACCCTTACCCTGCTGCTGGACCCGTTCAACCAAGTGAGCAGAAGTGGATACATCGCCTCAAGGAACTAGAACGACGACTGAAAGCCGAGCGAGAGGCGCGACTGCTTGACCGCAGCGGTGCCAGGAAGCGGTTGGAGCAGAAAGTCGAAGAGAACGCCGACTTACGAGCTGCTCTTGAGAAGGAGCGAGACCGAAGGGACGAAGATATCGATCACCCTCAAAGAACTGCGTCAGCTATGGGGAGCCGAGTTGGAGGCAGCGGACGTGCTAGTGTGATTGGAAGCATGCGTCACGCTCACGGGAAAGACAGGGAAGAGGAAATGTATTAGTGCATTTTCTCTTAGTAGATCTTTCCTTTTTCCTTTTTTCTTTGCATGTATATCCTTTTTTTAAACACCTCTTTCTTCTTCTTTTAGACTTGTCAAGCACTCTTCGAGATTTGTCTCATTTGATGCTTTTTATTTTCATCTTTCATGACCTAATGTATAACGAAGACATAGCTTGACAAAAGAGGTGTCAGGGCATTGCTTAATTGTTTTACTGTGGTAATTTCGGGTATACCATCTTTCGAAAGAGGAAGGTGTCTTGATTAATTTTTTTTCAAATGAAATGGGGTATCTTGGTGTTTGTGGCATGTGATCTTGCGGTCTTAGGTTATTGTTCATGTTCAGTGTGAGTGCGTTTTGCGTGTGCAGGTGGCGTTCGATGTAGAGTGAATGGCGTGTTAGGCAACAATCGTGCTTCTATTCTTCGCTTGCAAAATGTGACAGCTACATTTTGTTAGTACCTAGGCACTTACTCTTGCTGCACTCTGCTTTGTCTGCGAGACCCGCTTTTGAATAGCGGCTTCTGGCCGTATGAAAGCAACAGGGTGATATTATGTCCATTTGGTTGGTCACGCGTGAAAAGTAGAGCGACGAACTCACCGCCTATCGAGTCCACATGTGGTTCGCAGTGAATGACATTGGCCCTCTCCTAGGACAAGTACTACTCCCACAACGATATTACTCCCTTGAGCACATTTGCTGTTGTGAAAATACGTGCAACAGGTAGTTGCACTTGACCTGAGTGAAGCAATGGAATCGCATCGCAGTCCCAATTGCAATTACCAGGTTGCCCACCAGCATTCGACAGAGTAAGCTTAGTTAGTACCTAGTGGCGAGCCGGATACTAAATCATCTTCAAGCAATGACCATCGTGATCTAAACTCACTACTACCCACAGCACCACCTCGTACCCAGCAATCAGATGATTCTGATCTTTTCACTATCCTTCTATTCGATCGGCAATGCGCATACAAGACGACGCCACTCTCACCGTCTTGGGCAAGGGAACTCACTTCGACCGAGCGAAGATTTTTGGAGTCTAACGCAGATACGCCCTCGGCGTCCCAACTTATGTATACGTCTTCGGGAGACGAAAAAGTACTTCCTTGCAACAACACGTCAGCATACATATCTCAAAGCAGAGCCATGCCACCTAAAAAAGCTGCCGTAAGCGAGAAGAAGAAACCAGTGGCAAAGGTGACTCTAGATAAGACTATAGGGAGGACGACAGTGTCTAAGAAACCAGTTAAATCTGTAGGCGTAGCCGTGGTTAAAAGGGCGACAACAAAGACTGTGGCAACAAAAGCCAGTAGCAAGCAGAAGCCCAGCGAACGCAGCAGAAACGGTACATCGAAAACTGCAAGCAAAGCGGTTGTACAAGAGGATGAAGACACTATCATGATATTGTCCGACGACAACACTGAGACCGATAAAGAAACCAACGAAGCAAAATCCACCCATTCACTTCGCGCATTCGACGCCGCAAAAGCGAGAATCCGGCAACTCAAAGAGCAAGCCGAAAAAGCGCAACGCGAGCTCCTCGCCGAGCAAGAAAAGACAAAAACCCTCCAGACCGAAAAGGATGAACTAACCTCCCTAATAACCGCCCTCAAAGCCGACAAACAAGACTATATCAACGAAATGCTCGCCACAGAAGAAGAAAGACTAAACCTAAAGACGCAGAACGCAAATCTAACCACCCAACTCAAGCAGCTGGCTACGCAGAAAGAAGACGTAGTATCAGCCAAACTTCAACTTGGCACAGAAAACATCCTCCTTCGCGACGAAAACCGGCGCCTCAAAGAATCCTCCTCCTCTGCAAGTACCGCAGCTCCGCCACCGACACTGCAGTCTACATCCACATCTATGCTCCTACCTGCCTCCCCCGCGCCATCCAGCATCGTCTTTGCAGAAGAAGATATAAAGCTAGATAACGTGCGTAAAGTGTATGCGCAGTTGAAAAGGAAGCAGGATAGTCTCAAGGGTATAGCGAGACAGATGATGTGGTGCACGAGGAATATGGTGTTGGGTGAGTTTGGGGAGTTTGGGGTAATGGTGAGGAGGTTGAGGGAGTGGATGGAGGAGGATGAGCAGCAGCAGGGGACGAAGAAGCAGAAGCAGAGGGTGGGGACAGGTGGGTAATGGGACGGGGGAACGGCATGGGAATGCATATATTTCATGAGTCAATTGTGCTTGTGCTTGTGAAGAGAAACCATTTTTTCATCGTGCATGTCAAGTTCCCTACGTACCAAAAGCACGACAAGAAAAATACCCTATAACCCAAACTTACTCTTCATAGCCCCCATAACAAAACCCCTCTTCTGTTTTCCGACAAACTTATTCACGTCATTAGCCCAGCCCGCACTATTCTGTGACAGATTATCCATGCTATCGCCGACGATATTCAGCTTCTCAGTCCGCTCATTGAGCTGTCGCGATGCCCATGCGCCCCAGCCTTCTTCAGCTTGAGGATCGGCCTGTCCAGGATAGGATTGGTATTGCGCAGCAGGCGATATGGAAGATGAGGCGTTATCACGGCGACGTTCCTGCTCGGCTTCTGCACGTTGTTGGGCGAGCTGACGGTTTGAGAGTGGACGGTCTGGGCCGCCGACTGCGGGAGATGTTAGCAGAAAAGTAATCAAGGATAATCATAGAGTAGATCTTACTGAGCAGGTCCATATCAGCTGGTGTTACATATTGGGTACCGGATATCCATTGTATGTTGCTGATCGTCGGTCGTGGCGGAATGACTAGATCTGGATTGAGCAAGACATCCTTTGCTCGATCACTTGAAGCTGTTAGTACCAACAATCAACTATGGATACCATCACTTACTATCGGAACCCTGCTCCGAATATGTTAATCAGACCCAACTCTGCTGGACCTTTCCATCCAAGAATATCTCCCGTAGCTGTGATGATCGCCTCTGAAAACCGTCGAACATCCAGGAATTCACTGACATTGACGGATGTAATTTCCTTCAGGGCTGGTATCGAGTAGGCTCTTGCACAGCCATCACCATAGAGACCAAGCAGCGCATACCCATTTTCCTCGTACCTTACCACCATCGCGGCATCGCACAGAAACTGATCAAAAGTTTTGTGTGCGCCCTTGCTGGTAGCTGGACGGAACAGTCTCGCCTCAGAGGAGGTGACAGCCAAAAGCACGCCGTTGACCTTCAGCCCAGTCCTCAGACCACCTACAGTAGACTGTGAGGCATACGCTGGGCGGCCTGTGTCGGCATGTATGGGGCAGATACTCAAAACTTTGTCGTCTAGCGAGCACGCGCCTGCGAATTTCGCCGAGTATCGACCATTTGCTTCTGGCAGTATCTTGAAGGTTGCGAGGTGGCCAAGGTTGGTTCCAACATGCACCAGGATACTCGAGTAGTCTTCGTCCTCGAGTGTCATAACGCTGAATTCGATACAAGTGGGCCACTCTGCTTTCGGCGCTGCCTGGGCCGAGCTACGCCGGAAACTAGAGCGCTTGTCTGACTTGATGAACTCTTGAACAGATGCTTGGAAGATGATTGCTGGCCCTCGGAGATCAATAATTGTAAAGCTTCCACCTTCAAAACCGGCAGCAACAAAGCCTACATCAGAGTGCTTCAAAGCAGTGACCGGCCCATTGCCTCCATCGAGCAGTGTGAGAGGTAGTAAACCCTCCTTGACAGCTCCCTCACTTCTTTCAGTAATGTCTGTGAGCGCCTGAGGCTTGTTTTCTCCTGGTGGGTACTCCTGACCTGCATGCTTGTTCATGTTCCATCTGAACACTACCACTTCCCCGCTCTTCAGCCCGACCGAAAGTTCAGAAGCAGCACCTGCGAATGAAGTTTTTGTGATGTGGACATCCTCTGGCCGCCCAACCGCTCTAGAAACGTCAACTTGAAGTAAATCACTGTTCTCAATCTCATCAGCATGCCCTGCATCCCATAGTCGTACCGTGCCATCTGCATGAGCTGTCTGGACAATATTTCGGTTCTCAAATCTCTTGAGTGGATGTACTGCTTCAGCGCCACCGGTTAAGAATGGAGGGCCTTTTTGTCGCTTTTCAGTCATTCCGAGCCATCGGGTTCGCTCTACTGGTGCGAGATTGATGTAATTGATATATGGGTGGACAAGCGTCATGGAGAGGTGTAGTTGGTTGGTAGGCGTAATTGGCACACCACTTGGAAAAGACAAAGTGATTAACTCGCCTGAAGCAAGCAAAGCAATTATTGCAATAGGGTCATGGCAGCCAGCGAAGTGTGGCGAAGATCTCGGGATGAGGAAAAGGTCGATAACTTCGGTGCCAGGCGGGCATGGTAATATCCTTTGCCTCTTTGGATTCTCAAAGTGAGCCGACAGGATCTGCCACGATGCAGTAGCATATACGGGCGTTCGACCCAACTCGAATAGAGTCAGACTCTTTGCCGAAATATTCGATGGCTGTCCGCCTGCTACAAGGATGGCAGTGTCATCGGGGTCCTGATTCGCACACCATGCGATCTTGAAAATTGGCGACTTGAGCGCGAAAGACCCCTCCACTGCACCCGGACTGAAACTCCCTGGGCCTGGTTTGTCCACGTTTGTATCTGTGAGCGTCCTTGCCTGTATAATGCGGCCATCCTTGGCATCCCAAATGACGATACTGCTATCTTCATGTCCAGTCAGAACAAAGGTTCCCGTTGGATGCCAGACGGCTTGCGTCAGTGGTGGCTCGCGTTCCTTGAAGATGGAACCTGGATCTGAGTCTCCACCTGGCGCTCCTTTTGGAAGACGGTAGTTGAAAAAGTGAGTGGCCTTGTTTTGCTTGAACGAGTAGATGACTGCGCCGGAGTTGTATCCAATCAGTAGAGAGCCAATGTCTCGAGGGTGTAGCGATAGCGTGACGACGGACGTTAGTCGAGATCTTGGAAACTTTTCGCGCCACAAATTGGGTATTTTGAAGGGTGTGAGCGTCTCTCTGTCGAGATCATATGCGAACACCTCACCATGCTGCGTGCCCAACAGGGCATAGTCGATGGCAGGATCACTGTGGAGCGCTGTGATTTTCGCAGGGGGCGAGTGTGCATTTAGCAATTTCTTGGTGTCGAGCGAGAAGACGGAGAGGTCGTTTTTCGAGTCTACGCACAACAGCTTCTCGGCACAGAACTGGAGGATCTTGACGGATGCGCTACGGTTAGGAAGCGACAGCACAACCTCGACTCGCTTCTGGCCGAATACATAGATTTGACCGGGGCCATATTTGCTCTCGCTTGTTCCGACGGCGATGAGAGACTGGACAGGGTCGTATGCGAGCTGGGTGATTTTGGAGTTTATGCCATAGTTGCGGATCTTCACATGTGGTTAGCTTGCACGCGTTGGAGGAGGGGCCTGTGGCAGAGGCGGGGGGCTGCGGCAGCGCAGGCATACATGGTCAAGCACAAAAAGATCAGGGCTGAGGCCCTGAGAGAGATCGTTGCTGATTCCAGCTTGCTTTCCGCGCAAGAGATGGGCCATGGTGGCGTGTATGTCTCATGGCGCTGTGCTGTGAGGCTGCGGTGGACAGTGTCGGGCTGCACCTGGCCTGCCATGCACTGTTTCGCCGGCAAGAACGCGTTGCGCGACGTCATCCGGCAACATTAAGCGGCCATGCAGGGTCCACCAGCCACACAGAGAGCACACAGCGCTGACGCCAAGCCACACTGCCCAGCCACACCTGGTCATGCATTTCCAGTCATTCCCACACACCTCACCGACAACATCTTACCATTGACTCAGTACGTAGCATGAGAATATCGACCAATATTTTCGTACACACGTAAATAAATTTGATGGATATTATAGTACCGTCTGTACTTGATACCGTTACGATGAACCCTTCTGTGATACTCACAGACTGACATTCCGACGCCATCCGACTAATCCACTTGGGCAGACACTGTTTTACAATTTCTCTTTTTAACTGCTTGATTCTCATAGCACTATGCATCACTGCCACCCTTTGATGCTATAGTAGGTACTGGTGTAGCGCCTTTGCAATGCCACTCTACGCATTGCACGTTTCCCTCTAAGCTATCTGTGATAAACAGCGTCTTGCCGTCTTTGCCACCAAAACAGCAATTTGTCAGATTTATACCCTTCGTACCCGACACGATCCTTGCCTTTGGTGTTCCATCCGCATTGACAACGAAAACAGACCCCAAACTTGGATGGCACACAAACAAGCTCCCTTCCTCATCCATCACCAACCCATCCGGTCCTACAGTGCCGAAACTCTGGAAGAAAAGGCCTGCTTTGCTCGTTGTTCCATCTGCATGAAGTGGGAGCCGCCAAACCGCGTTTGCACGTGTCATGGCGACGAAGAGGAATTTTTCGTCAGGCGACAGCACGAGACCATTGGGGCTGACACCATTTTCAACGAGTGTGTCGAGTTTACCATTGGGAGATAGGCGATACACTTTACCAGTGGGGTCTGACAGTCCGGTCTGGCCCTGATCCGTGAAGTACAGCTCGCCCTTGGAACTGAATACCAGATCATTAGGACCTTTAAAGCGCTCTAGGTTCCGACGCGAGAGCCGTGGCGAGATTTTGCCTGTCGATGGATCAAACGTCAAGATGCCCTATAGCCAGGTTCAGCCGATGTCTGGCTTTGCTACATGCTCCTGCAAGATACCTGTTTGTAGTCTGCAATCGCGATTTTGCCTTCAGGGTCTACGGCCAGGCCATTTGGCTCACCGTCCCACTCGGCCGCGACCGTCACTTCTTTTGTAGGCGAGATACTGAGTATCCGTCCGTACGGGATGTCCACGACATAAAGGTGGCCTGAAGAGGTGTAAACCGGACCTTCAAGAAAGATGTTCTGAAAGGCCCGACTGAAACCGCCTCGCCATTCCGAATCGCGGTCCTTGCATCTGATTTCATCCGGGATACGAAAGTATAGGGATGCGGTTATTGTGGGTGGCGGCGGATAGAAGTTCATGTTGTCTGATTATGTCTTATGAAGATTCATGAGATGTCCCACGATATCTATTCTCTCGTTGGAACATAGCATGCACCGTAAAGCTTACCAATTGCGACGTGCAAGTTGTATGTTCTTTCGGGTGTCAGCCGATCCAATAACGGCGCAGCCGCTGAGGTCTGATGAAGATACCAGTCCCATCAGGAAAAGCCATCGGAGTG